TAGTAAAATTATGGAAAATAAAGCATAATATTTTTTTCCAAAAAGAACACATTACAACCAAAAACGTTTGCGACACCTCTCTTCTCTTCTTTTTAATATACATACATTTCTCTCGTTGGAACCACTACAACCTCTTTCTTTTATATATATATATATATATATATATATATATACAGTAGCGTCCAAAACTAAGGGACAAAATTTTAAAACCTAATATTTGTTAGAAATAACAACTGTGAAAAGCTGAAATGTGCAGCTGTCATTGAGAGCAAGGGCTCATTTACTAAATATTGATTGTACATATATTTTTATTGTTTTTTTGCCGTTTACATTGGTTTTCTCAATTTTGTCCCTTACTTTTGGACGTTCCTATTTTGAAAATAAATAAATAATTGTTATAATTCTTTTCTATCCTTTTTAAAATGATTCAAATTTTAGTATATTATTATAGATGATAACGACTACCAGTTGTCAAAATTTCAGCTTTTCACAGTTGTTATTTCTAACAAATATTAGGTTTTAAATTTTGTCCCTTAGTTTTTGGACGCTACTATATATATATATATATATATATATATATATATATATATATATATATATATATATCAAAAGACAAAAAGGAAAACTTATCTTAGCCAACGTTTCATCCTCTAAGGCAATTTATGACGACAAATACAAAAAATGTTAAAATTAAAAGGAAACGATTAAATTCATAAGCTCATGTTATTTAAGATATATAACGCAAAAATTAATATATATCCTAAAGGAAAATAATTTAAATTCTAATGTGTATTAGAATAAAAAAACATCAAGAACATCACTTACTCACTTCCGTTTATTAGACATTGAATTGTGCCACTTCGCGTCCTCCATAGCGTGTCTGACTTTTCGGTTAACCTGATGAATATTTATGAGCATTCTTAAATTTAAAAATTTTGAAAAACCGTTAAAATTTTTGCTTTTGTAGATAAATACCTGTTACAAAATAAAAGTTTTGTATTTTCCTTGATAAAGTTCTTCAGAAAATGCGTCGGCTAAGATAAGTTTTCCTTTTGTTTTTATTCAAATTCTTCTTTTACAGATATTCTCTATCTGAAATTTTTACTTACACACACACACACACACACACACACACACACACACACACACACACACACATATATATATATATATATATATATATATATATATATATATATATATAAAAGTTACTGGATTGACAATTCGAGTCTGAATACAATACACCGTAGGGAAATATGTTCTTTTAATGAAAAATCTTGTAAATTTTGGCACATACACCTAATAATTATATGTATGATTATATTTTAGCAATATATAATAATTTAAGCGAAACACACACCTATGTATAATTGTATGTGTGTAGATGTGCTTATGTTGCTTAAATTAATCAATAAAAAGCTTTCTTGTCGGATATTGGCCACTAAAAATAAAATGTGTCTGCAGCGTGACAAAAGAGAATCGAAATTTATTTTCATCGTTTCTCAAGCAACCTTCACCACACAGGCATACACACACACACAAAAGCGACACGTCGAACGACACACATTGTCGACACACGCGTGCTATTGTTCCTTTCCTGCATTCACTCATTCTACTAAGGCTTCCAGTTCGCGCGTGGCTTGCTACACAAAGGGAGGTAATACGAAGATCATTTCTATTCTGGTCGGATTTATTATAAAATGTCTCTCGACCTTTGTGCACTTCTCTATCAGGACGTCGCCTCGATATTCGACGCGATTTACAAATGAAAAAAAAAAAGCGTCGTTCGGTGGCAAGGCGTCGGATATAGGTCTGTAACTGTGTGGTTTGTATGTATGTCACATTAAATAACATTCTTGTTAGATTTATACCATTGTCATTATGGCATTACACTAGGACGTAAAAACAGGTTCGATATGTAACAAGCTTCGACCAGGTCGAATCACGCTAGGCCGGTTAGTGAGGACTGTGCGTGAAGTATTTCGCCGATGTCCAAATAAAGCCATTCGCAAAGTCTAAATGGAATTAAACTTTCTAAAACCTACGATAGTAAAAGTTTTGAAAGCACAATGGGAAGCACACACTGCTTCATCTGGTAAGCTCCCCCCCCAGCATCATCTGGTAAGCTCCCCACCTGACATCGTCTGGTAAGCTCCCCCCTAATCATCTGGTAAGCTCCCCCAACATCATCTGGTAAGCTCTCCCCTAACATCATCTGGTAAGCTCCCCGCTAACATCATCTGGTAAGCGCCCCCCCTGCAACATCATCAGGTGAATCTAACTAACTGGAAATATAAAGAGAAAGGAAAAGATAAAATGAAGACGACGCTGATAAATTTTCCAATGATGATGCATGGGCATTAAATTCTATCAGAAAACAAATAACAAATCTTTTGCAAGTTTATTCACAAGTTTGACATAAATTACCCAGTCTCTGCAACCACTATGATTCTGATGGTGACTCCCACTAACTCCCCAACTCAATGAAGGATGCCCTACCAGAAAGCTGGAGTTCCCGGGACCAGGCCTCGTTTATCACAAAACTATAAAGCATTTGAAAACAGAAATATTGCGCAGACGAGAAAGGAAGGAGGAGGAGGAGGAAAGATGCGATATTTTGTGCTGTATTCCATGTCGTCTCTGTCTTCAGTTCTTCAGATCCTCAACGCTACACAATTGATTGCATCAACGAAGAACAGTTTCTTTCTCTTATCTCCTTTATTATTCTTTTCTCAAATTTCACCCTAACCAATAATATAAAAGCCACTAAAACACAAGGGGTTATATTGGAAGTGAAAGAGTCGGAGAGAGGACAATAAAAGAACAGGGTTTAAGGAGACAGAAGATGACGATTGAAATTGCACTTACATTTTTGAAGGTCGTAGTTAACAGGATCAGTCAATTAGCCTTTGTGACTTCAAAGCCAAAACGGACACTAGCAATCAGCTACTGCGCTCAAAGAAAGTACAGAACGACGATCAGATATCTTAGATTCCCTACATGACTCACATAAAAGACGCAGTAGAGTACGGGAGAGTGGAATAATCACACAGAAACGTATTCGCTTTAAGGACCCTATTGCCTCAATGGACTAAATACCATCCTGTGAGGAAGGAGTAATTAGCAAAACGGACAATCGTAGGACTAATATCTATAGTGCTACACCAAAGAACACCAGCATAACTCATATCGCAGACCAAAGGACTGTAACAAAAACAAGAAACGGCCTTGAAATACACAGGCCTTACTGATACAGAACGGTCGATGGGTAGTTCTGCACTAACACCTTATGTCAAATTCATCACGCATTCGCACAAACATATAAAACACACACGCACACACACACATATATATCTACATATATATATATAAAACAAATAACACTCCCATCTACAAAATGATTCATAGCAAGGCAACTTTCCTTATATTAAAAAGACAATCTTCTAATGAACATTGACAGTTATCTTGTTTGAAAAAATCATGTTAACTCAGCTTATTTCATGTTGTTCAAATTAATACCTTATTCAAACTAACTTATCTTAATTTTGTTTCAGAAGTTTTGCATAAACATAACCTTTTCATTGGTAAGAGCGGGGAAGTAGCATTGCACGAGGATAACCCAGTGTAATAATACATACATAGAACCTGGGACTTCAATACTCATCAGCAACACTAAACTCATCTAAGTCCAATATACAATTACTAATAAATAATTCTATAAAATCAATCAATTAATCACCACAGTCATTTTAAACTGTTACAGACTGATCAACAGAATTTCTCGATTGGAATAGAAATGCTTACCTTGTAAATCAGTATTTAAAACAACTAATTTTTGGTACTAGAGGCAAATTCCTTACTGCTTAGTGAACGTTGGACCGATACGCAAATTATATTGAGAATCATGTAATCTTGGAAATCGACGATTTCCCTAAAGTCAGAATGATGTAGATTTTTGCCGGCCTACTTAAATGCTTTCACTTGAAATGCGATTTTTCATTATTTTTAAACAGATTGATTGTTTTTATTTTAATTTCCTCTAATTTTAAACTCTGGTTTTTTTTACAAACTCGAAAATTCTGAATTGCAATAAACGATTGTAAATTTGTGGTGATGAAGGAAACAACCCGTACTGCACCTGCTTCGAAAAACAAAAACATTAATATTTCATGGGAAAATTAGTGAAAATATCTTTTTTCAAAAGATTCGATGATAATAGCAAGAAACTTAGCAGAAACACTGGAATCAAAGTGTTGGGAACAAAAAGAAAAGTCTAATTTAATAAAATATTTATTTCTCAAAATGTTACTTTGATTGGTTGTTCAATTTAGGAAGTCGAGAAATTCATTTATATCTCATTTGACTTTGTCTTCAGTTGTTTTGCATTTGTTAATGACAAACTGATAATTCTAAACCAATCTCATTTATTTGAACATTTTCTGTTTAGTTTACTTTTCATCACTTGGCTTTTAAAATCAAACGTTAGATCAGAAAACTTGTAGCATATTCTTTATATTGATCGCGGTCAGTCTGTTTTCATTTTCATTTATGGAATGGATTTATTTTATAAACCATGACAAAATTCTTCATTTTTTTATTATAATACTGCTATTTTGGAACTTATCATCTGGATGTCTTGACTGGGATGGCCCCGCTGAGATAGGCATATGTGATCTAAAGGTCGATCTGGAGAGCGCCAAAGACGAACAGATTTCTGTCTCTTGCAGCAAGACTCGTCATCTCTATGACAAGTGTGTTATAAAAACTATTTATTCATTTTGATTCTCCCAAGGCTTGAACGGCGAAGAATTTTTGCAGGTAAATATTTAAAACTGTTTTAAAGATTCTGGTTAATAGACTTTTCTCTCAAATAAGGTGAGATTTACTTATACTTACATTTAAGTTTATTTGTGTGTATCGACTGATATATTTAGATTTTCATGCATCAGGAATTGTGCAAAGGGAAATGACAATAATTTTTCTTAAAACATTTTAAATAGACACGTTGGGAATCTATCTATCTATCTATCTATCTATCTATCTATCTATCTATCTATCTATCTGTCAGCGTAGAAAGGGCTGGATATTTAATTTCTATTCAATTCGAAATCGTCCTATATAATGTTTTGGTCTCGTAAGCTGTTGACAGTGACAGATTTTAGAGAAAGCTGTAAAGCTATTTGCTTCATGTTATTCTTATAACAGTGTCACGTAACGTCATTACGAATTCCGTGGGTTCGCAGGAGAAAGACATGTACTGTAGCTATTGCAGCAGTGGTGTTTCTAGAGCAAGATAACCTGACAGAATCCATTCCACTTCAATTTACTTTTGAATTGTTTTCCTTCTTGACTGGTTGCCACCTAAAAAGCCCAAACTGTCCCAATCACAATTCTGGTCTTTCAATCAATGGCTGGGCTAAGAGGAAGAAGGAATGCGAAAGTGAATGTAATGAATTCGGATGAAATTCGAACTCAGCTTGCCGATTTCTCGTTTCGAGCAGCTAACTATTACACCACCCGCGCATGCTGGATATAGAATAATAAACACTATATAAATATCTTATAACAACATATCTTACATAAGAGGAAGAGGAGGAGGACAATTGTGGAGGGAGACAAAGTAATTCAAAGTTTTTTCCATGAGAGTTTTTTTGATTGAAACATTTTTGCTCTCTCTCGTAAACACAAACATATGCGCGAGCATGTGCGTGTAATCTTGCATGTTTATATATATGCGCGCGTGTGTGTCTCTCTCTCTGTGTTTTTAGAAAATATATAATGAAAAGTTTTGATTTGGCAACTTTCTTTCGAAATGCCTTTATAAAGATTTTGCAGAAATTTCAGACTAATTAACTAATCTGCCCTTTGCCGTTCTGTTTTTGACTCTTTCATGTCTCACTAATCATGCATATATAAATTTATAACGTTTTTCATGAGGCGACGCTTGAACACGTGATTTCGTTTCACATGTGACTGAAATTTTTGGAATATGGAATCAAAGTTTTGTTCTACAAAAGTGATTCACTTTTCTCAAAAACGACACACTAACTAAACTATCTTCTGGTGATTTGTTTCCTAGTTGAAATAATTTTCGAAAGTAATTTTCTTTTTAATTTGTGATCCCCATCTTCAAACTCCCAAATACACATTCTGTCGTTTGTACCGTTTAGAGTCGAGTTTTTAAGACAAAAATTCAAATCTGCTTGGACAATCGTTGTGTTTGTTGTACGATGGAAAAGATTAAGTAACACTTTTAACCTCAGACATGAAAAACAGCAACATCACTTTTTCATGAAAAATAAGTATTTTTACTCAACTATCTTCAATAAACATTCAGAATGATATTTCACGTATTTTTAGTAAAATCGTCAGCATTTAATTTTTAAGTGACATCAGAATAAATGGTAAATATCGTCTTTTGAAATTTTTGTGCTTCACATCTATTGATACCTAGTTTATAAACGAAGATGAAATTTTCATAAGAGTTTTTAAAACGTGTTTTACAAGGATCGACTAAAAAGTTCATAGGCTGACCAAGATATTCTCATAGAATGTAACGAAATGAGGTTTTCAACATAGTCCTTATTGTAGTCGACACACGTCTAACGTTGGTGTTACTGTACTTGGATCTAATTGGTGAAGAAACTTTTATCTTGCTAAAAAAAAATCATCAAAAGCAGATATGACCTCATCATCATTGCTATACTGGTTCCTAGCCAACTGCTTTTTCATGTTGGCGAACAGTTGGAGTCGAATCAAGAAAATAGTGAGGGCGATCAACCAGTTCAAAGCCACAGTCACGCACTGCATTGAAACGAAGCACTCTCGTATAATCTTTACAGACTTGTAAAATCCAAGTCTTGTCAGAATAGTAAAAATAAATAGAATATACGTCAATGGATATTTCCGTTTTAAAGTGTCAAAGGAATTAGCAAATACTGAATAAATATTTCGTGATCTTAAGGGAATCAAAGATTTGCATAAACTTTCAGGAGTTTAACTCTTACTTATCAAACTGTTCGTTCTAAAAGCAAAACTGAAACGCTTGCTAAATTTTAATTTCTTGAAAATATGCAAATAATACATATTAAAATGTTACGATTTTATTAAATTTGAATAACTAATTGTTCAAACATTCGACACCATTTTGTTTTTAAAATGTGTTCTGCATTTATTTAAATTTTCTCTTGAATTTTGTCGAATAAATTTATTTCAGTGTCAGTATGTACTGCAATTTTTGTTCGTTTTTAAGGACGAAAAGTTATGAATATGGAATTAAATTTTAGAATAATTCAAAGATTTTTGGTGGGTGTCAGTTTATGCATTTTTTTTTTCTAATGGGTAATGGGTATCCTTTTTATAAATGTCAAAAATTGGTTTCCTTGTCTTTGTTGTTTTTATCACAAATTGAATGATTTACCCTGAGGATGAAAGCCATGTTTTTCACACACACACACACACACACACACACACACACACACACACACACACACACACACACTTTCAGGTTGATAGTAATAAAATTATTTAAACTGATAGACATACAGACACGTTCACACTGATAAACACGCAGTTATTCACATTGATACATAAACACATTGATATTCATATAATAGATATATTTATACATTAATGTTGATAGACATACAAAAGCAAATAGGCATTCATATTAATAAATATATACACGTAAAATGTTATGTACACGTTTATTAAATAGGAATATTTGTAAATCTTATTCCTATTCCCATCTGATGGCGCTTTCCCCTTCTCTCATTTTTAGCCTCTTACCGTGTTTATGTTTATCGTATATTTTCTGCCAGTTTAGAAATATACTTTTCTTCTCTCCCGCTTATATATAAAAAAACAACATTAAGAAATAGATTCTGTGTGTGTGTCAAATTTCCAGCAAATAACCAATTTTACAAATGTGTATTCAGTGTTTAATTTCTGAAAAAGCGCTCTGTGAACTTTTGCATATATGTATTATTTGGCTTTGTTATGATGAAAATCATGACTGAACATAAGTACATTCGACATTCGTCTTGATGTTTACTGTAGGATAAAATAAGACGCATGTCCGGCATTATCCATTTTATAAGGTTAGTCATATATAAGACATATCGGACTTGACTTGGTAATTTCACAAAGCTATAAGAAATCCTCCTGAAATGATGGCAAACATTAAAGATGACCTTAAATCTACTGTTTAGGCAGAGAATCTAACGTATTGATCTTATGATCGAAGACGCTTACTTTCTTCAAAGATTTAGACACACCCACAACACAGTGATCCTTTAATAAATTCATTCAGAGGACCCATTTTGTTGTAATAAGTAAAATGAATTCATTTGCATATATTTTATATATTTGCTGTACATGCGGGATGATGACTTGAAATGGAGTTGATATTTAATTTGATTTTTTTTTATTTCGACGGTGATAATTTCTGGAGGCAGTGATCATTCGATATTTTCACTCGAAATAAACGTCAATCTATATATTCATCTATTTTTTTTAATGGAGCAGTGGAAAAATAATGTGTTTCCTATAGATTGTGTCACGATTGTACTCATCTACATGTGAAGATGGCACGATTCATGTGAACTTCTTGATTTTAATTTTGATCTTTGCTCAGATTCTAGTGATAACTGTAAAGGCTTGGTTGAAACCCGTCCAGTTTTTGTAAGAAGAACCTTTTCCCCAAAGTCATGAAATTAATAATATTTTCTGCTAGAACATTCAATGAAGACCTTAACAGGAAGAGGAAATCAAACATCTGCTTCGAAGTAAGAAAAAAATTAGAAATGCTTATTTTTTCGGTTGTATAATTAAACAGAAAGAGGCAAAGTTGATCAGTAAGAACACACCCACTTCTTTTTGTCGATCTCTTTCATTCCTATTCGAAAAAAATAATTAAAAAAAAATTTTAATCGAAAATTTGACCGAAACAAGTAACCTTACTTAATTTTCTTTCTTTTCTTGAACGTCTGTTCATAAGTTACCATTTTGTTTAGGCCTTTCTCCCACTTCCAAAGCCGAACCTTCTTCCTTCCTATAAGTTTTCCAATCACGACAACCGTGAAATTAAAAGGAAGTAGCTTCCTTTATTAAAAATAAATCCGATTCCAAAATAAAAAAAAACAACAACACATAAATGATAAATAGAAATATATAAGAAAGAAAATCAAATTGCATGACAAATAAACAAGAACTTGGTAGAGTTCAAAACTAATTAGAGGCTTTAGGATTAATTGATATATTTTATTTGTAATTGCAGTTTATAAGTTAGAATTGACAAATCAAGTGACCATATTTGTTTTGTTTGATAAAAGTCAAGAAGGCTTATAAATTCTTGCTACTTGGCATTAAATATAAATTGATTTGAAAATTGTGATAAAAACAAAAAGATGGTATTTATACTAGCATTAGTATGCTTTTATTTGTCAATCATAATTTACGGGCCATCCGGTGCTAGGAAAGATTTTTAATTATTTCCCGCTCACCAGGTGACTAATATTAGCATTAGTATATTTATTGATATACTAACATAATAATAAACGAACACGAAAGACGAGATAAACACCCGTACACGATTAAAACATTTAATAAGTACGTATTATATTATACAAAATTGTTACAACGATCCGCATGTATCCCAAAACAGAGGAATTGCTTCTAGAACGAGCATATCTGCAATTCTCTTGAGCCCATCAAGTTTATCATAAAAAGATAAGTTGTGTCTGTTGGTAATATTTAACCTTTTTTGGTAATATTTAACCTTTTTTGCTTGATTTCTTTTTGACTGCATCAACAGTGTCTCGGAAAATAATGGAAGAACAGATATCTCTGGAACCTTTTTATTCATGAACACAAGCACCGTCAATTCAGTGGAATGTAAGAAAATTCATTCAGTCTAAAAAAACACATTTTGGATATAGCATTGCATTAACATGTCCCAAAATTAATGTACAATATAAAAATAAAAGTTATACTTGGTAGATTTATTTTGGAATAAATCAAATTTGTTTTACCGGAAAAATGAAAAGTAAAAAACTTTGAAATAACAATCAAAAGTAGTTAGGTAACTCAAATTTTAGCAAATTCAACTCAT